AACCTGCACCACTCCTGGCCTTGCTGCACACACTGTTTTGACTTCGGCATGCATAATTATCAGAGCCCTTCGCCTCCTCGCATGTTGCAGCATCTCTGACTGCCCAATCCAGCCACAGCGGCATGGATTTGTTTGTGTCCATGGTTAAATCGGTGGCGCTAAATGAGTAGTAGTCTTGATCAACAATGAAAACGTAGCTACATGGACTAAAGCTCAAAAAATATCGATGGGAATATGCAGTGAAAGAGAAGGAAGTGTCACTGAGGCCTGACGGGATGCTGGTTTGGCAGCATCCTATGCCATTGCAAACCCCATTGATGACTTTGCTTGTATCTTCGCAGTACGATAAGCAACCAGTATAGTATACATAGGGATAGGGGCCGTCGGCCGTCTGCTGGCTTTGTAGATATGCCATTGAGTTGCAACCGATGAGAGTGAACTTGTTGCGGTCGTCGGAGATCTTGTACACTCCATTGACATCGAAGCTTTTGGATGGTAAGTTGGAGTTGGTGCTCTCCACGGCGGTCTCGTTGTAGCACTCCCAACTTACTTGAGCCTTCACGCGAGACTGGCCGTGCAGCAGCGAGATCTCGGTCACCTCGATGTCGCTCGTGCCGAGGAAAGCTATGGGGGAGTTGCCATCCGAGCGGTCGCATGTGATGGCGAATCCAACTCTGTAGCAACCTGGCTCGATGCCGAAGGGATACTGGACAAGCACTTGGCCGCACTTGTCCGAGCAGTTTGAGGTTTCTGCATTCGTCGCTGTTGCTGCAGCTGCTGCAAGTGTCCGAAGCATCCGAAGAACTGCTTCTCTTGGTCTTCTCATCAGATGGACGGAATCAAACAGAGATTTAGCCTGGTGAAGAATGAATGGAGATCCTTTCTGTGTTAATAAAGAGGCACGCCGGAGTTGTGGAGCTTCGGAGAATGCTATTTCTTCTCCGTGATCTCACTGATCGTCCTCGTTGACTGCAGAAGTCAATTCATCCACGTGGATAAGAAGGCGTTAGAAATCGGTCTTGATTTCACATTATCTGATGCCTTCGCGAAGCTCGTAACTGTTGCAGTTTTGGTATTGGCGTCATTGTAATCATTATTTGTAAATATACCTAAAATTACTTAGATACCCTTTAACTTAAATATTTTTTATTATTTATTTAATAGTGTATTTATGTCGATTTTGATATTAAAATATTTAACTTGAGAAAGAAAATGATCGTTTACTTTTAAATATAATTAACATTACTTAAATATTTTTAATTTAAATCTTACTTTTTATTATTTGATATTAGCTTCTATCATGCAATCACTTCTTTCTTTTGGCTACACTCTTTTCCTCCGTTACCCTTCTCATCTCCATCCAACCATCATTCTTTCTCCATCCCATCTCTTATAAATTATTTATAGTAGCGATATGGAGATAATTGTTCTATTAAGTCCAATCTATTGGGACAAATGTAATTAAATTAATACTTTGCATGTCTTACTCAATCATGTGATGTCCTTAATAAGTCTACATCCCACTTCAAGCTTGAATCATTTAGGTCCACAAGCGTCGTAGAGTACTGCTTCCTGATTTTTGTGTCATAATAACATATGGTTGCCCATCAATTAGAGACTCAGTCAACTCTCATTGTTTCCACGCATGCGAATCACAAATTTTTGATTTTTTCTTTTACTTTTTTATTACATCAGATAGTTGATATACATGATGCTTGGATTCAAACCAAACATCCATCAGTTATTTAATAATGTATAAATCAATTCGAATATCCGATACAATTTAAATCTTCTTTGAATTAGACAAGCATAGAAAATGTTTCTTTTGATCCTAATTTGGACTTATGGATGACAACAAAATGGGTGGGGATGTTTTAGTAAAAATATAATATTTCTCTAATATTTTTCTCAATTCTAATTGTTCTTGGCTCCGCATGTTCTTTTTTCAAGAGAAAAACACTAAAACATTATATTAAAACACTATAACTTTCATCGTTCTGTCTCAGAGAACAAAAACATCCAAATCTATAGGCCAAGCCTACAATAAAAAATAAAATTATCTGGACGTTCTAATATGCTTTGTTGTTTTCTCTCAACAAAATTTATTAAGATATGCATAATGTTTCTAACAATAATCAAAATTAGCCTAGGAGACGAAATGTCCTATGCTAACATGTCAATCAAGCTCATCGACTCACATTCAATGTGCGATCGAGGTATATATTGATCCCAATTTATTTCGAAACCTTTCAAAATAATAATGAATCAGGGTAATGGTTTTGAATTAGAATCGAGTTCTAGAAATTAGATTACAATTAATTAGTTTTATCTATTTTGATTAGAGAAGTATTTAAAAAAAATATAAAAATTAAAATAGGAGATTCCGGTTCAAAGCCGAAACCATCGAGTTCTAAACCGAAAACAAAAGCGCGTGGAAGATATCAAATTCTACATAACCAAAACTACTAATTCTAAAGAAGGAATCGTCGATTACCGTAGGACTATCGTTAAGTACTTGCATAAAGCAAAGAGAATCAAGCTCACTATCTCTAGGTGAAATCCAAAATTTATTATAATTTAATTTAAACTAATCGACCATTGAGTCTGTGTCCACAACGTCACATCCCTTCTACGTCATACATAAATAAAGGAGGAAATAGAGCTGAGGTCACTTTCTTGGGTTTGGTGCTCCGTCGAAATCACTCAATGTTAAGTGCAGCGTAATTGCCCGGTGATGGGTGGCGACGGTGGACCATTCAAACATGGCAACCTTTCAACCACCGGATATTAATCGTAACTGTAATTCCTTTCCTATTTGATTAAAAGGTATATTTTATATTGGTTTCTTAACGCTAGAATAAGAATCTAACCTCTATGTTCAAATATTATAATTTTAAATATAGAATTGATAAAATAATATATAAAAGCGTGTGAATATTGTCTTACAAGTATTTCTTGATTTCATATGAATGGTCAATCGTTCAAGATATAATCATAATTCTATTGTCTTGTTGAATCTCGGATTTTGATGATGAAATTAATTATAAATTATTTAATCTAATATATATGTTGAGAAAAGTGTACAGGATTAACTACGATAGTAGTAAAACATAAAGCAGGTGTTATGCAAGAGTCAAGATCGAGATCTCATTGGAAGTTCGAAAGTTCGTCGGAACCCCAAACGTTTGTCGGAAGTCCGGACGTTCGTCGGAAGTTCTGCCGGAACCAACCGAGAAGTCCGGGAGCTTGCCAAATAAGCTCGTCGGAACTTGCCAAGAAGATCGTCATAAAGTCTAGGAGCTTACCGAGAGTCTACCGGAGCATTATTGAGAGTTCGTCGGATGTTCACCAGAAGTACGCTAGAAGTTTGCCGGAAGAGTAATTGAAGCACCGGAACAAGAAGTGTTGTGATCATATCTTAATTATCATAGTTAAAGCGTAAATTAAGTTATGATTGGGAGGTAATCCTACTAACTTAATTAGGGGCCAACTGGGCTCTTAATAGAGCTAAATTAGGCCGAATTGAGCAACCAATTCAGCCCCTGAAAATATGGCCGATGGTGGCACCACTTGGAAAGCAGTGACCCAGGATTTTTGGGCGGTGATACCGCCCAGGCTGGGTAGTGGTATCGTTGGTAGTTAATGCTGCCAACGGTGGTACCGCCCTTGTTAGGCGGTGGTACCACCCAGTGTTAGGTGCAAGGCGGTAGTACCGCCCAATAATGGCGGTGGTATCGCCAGGACCACGAAAATCTGGGATTAGATATTTTTTAGCTCTAATTTTGAAGCCTTTGAGGCCTATAAAAACCCCACCCTTTTCTACATGAAATGGCACGAAAGCTATTGCCACAATCTTGAGTTCTTGATTCTTAAAATGTTTGTAAAAGTCAAGAGTTCTCCTCCTTTATCTCTTAGCCTTGTAACCATCCAAGAAAGAAGAGTGAGACTTATAAGGGTTGTCTCATAAGCCCGACAAAAGGAGAAAAAGCTGTAAAAAGTGATTGGCCTTCGCCTATTGAAGGAAGGCCTATAGTAGATGCCGGAGACCTCGTCGGAGGAGGAATCCGAAAGTGGATATAGGTCACATTGACCGAACCACTCTAAATTCTGGTTTGCTTTTCATTTATGCAATTTACATTACTATAAATCTCCTTAATCCTCTTTTGCACTCTTATGAAAGCTTTCAAGTTCATATTCTCTCCAAAACAGATTGAATCGAAACTATTTTCGTTAGAATCAGTTTTAATCAAAATAAATATTTTTCTGAAATTGAAAAAGTTTTTCATTGCTCTAGTTCACCCCCCCCATAAGTGCCGCTCTTGATCCTAACAATTAGTATTAGAGCAAGGTTTACTCTCGTTTGGCTTAAAACCCAAGAGAGATGGTATTTGTTGGCAACCTAGAGGGTCATTCAATTACACGTCCTCCCATGTTCAATGGGACGAATTACACATATTGGAAGACTAGAATGAGGATCTTCCTAATTTCAATGGATTTCGAATTATGAAATATTATAGAAAATGGCTTTCAAAAGTCTTCTCTTCTAATGAATAATTGGAATGAGTTAGAGAAAAAGACTTTCGCTTTAAACGCAAAGGCTATGAATGTCTTGTTTTGTGCCTTAGATAAAAATGAGTTCAATCGTATGTCTATTTGTGAATCAGCTTTTGATTTTTGGCACACACTCGAAGTGACTCATGAAGGCACTAGTAGAGTGAATGAGTCAAAAATTAATCTTTTAGTGCACACTTATGAGTTATTTTGAATGAAACTGAGTGAGACCATTGGAGATATGTACACCCGATTTACGGATGTCATCAATGGTCTAAAAGGACTTGATAAAGGTTTCTCGAATTTTGAACTTGTTAATAAAATTTTAAGATCACTTCCAAAGAGTTTGGACCCTAAAGTCATGGTCATTCAAGAGGCCAAAGACCTAACTAATTTTCCTCTTCAAGAACTAATTGGGTCACTAATGACCTATGAGATAACTTATAAAGCTCATGAAGAGCTTGAGGACACCCTTCCAAAGAACAAGAAGGATATGACACTAAGAACCCAAGAAGACCATTTGAAAGAAAACTGAGAACTTTGATGATAATTTGGCACTCTTAACAAGGAAATTTAAAAAATTTATAAAAAAGAATAAATTTAAAAATGACACTAAAAATAAATTTGAACCCAAGAAAGATCAAGTAATATGCTACGAATGCAAGAAGCCGGGACATTACAAGAGCGAATGTCCCCTAGTTAAGAAGAGGTAACCAAAGAAAAAGGCTCTTAAAGCAACATGAGATGACTCAAGTACATCCGAAGAAGAGGAGCCAACTAACACCAAGCAAGTTGCTCAGTATGCACTAATGGCCATTGGAGATGAGGTAAGTAATTCAATTGATACAAATTTATCTTTTGATAAATTATTAAGTGCTTTTTATGATCTATTTGATGAATACAAATTAATTAGTAAAATATATAAATTATTGAAAAAGGAGTATGTTTCTCTTATTAGTGATTTCGATAGATTAAAAGTTGAGCACAATGATAGTTTAACTCTATGTACAAAATGTGATGAACTAGAAATACTTCAAAAGGAAAACTTGCTACTAAAAGAAACCTTAAATAAATTTGAGGTTGGTAGTAAGTCCTTGAACATGATCCTTGCCAATAAAGGTCACGTTCATAGGAGAGGCAGAATCAGATTTGTGAGTAGCTCTCATCAAAATCTAACCATCTTTGTGAAAGGCCCTACTTTGCATGTTTCATCCCGAAACAAATGCAATTTTTGTTGCAAATTTAGGCATGTATCTTATCATTGTCCATTCAAGAAATGTTGCCCATGTAAATTGATTTGG